CTGCTAAGCAGGAACCAAACATCCCTGGGTTACCAGCACTGTTTCCAGCACAGATCCAAACCATGGTCCCATGCTAGCTACTGTGAAGAACGTTAATTCTACCCCAGCCAAAACCAGTGCAGTGGGACAGACATAAATAATATATTTCTGAGTTTAGAAGTAATTGCAAAAAGAAATTGCTTAGAAACTCAGGTGATGTGTTTCTAATGTGAAATACAAAGGTTTTTTGTTTTCAAATGTAATTTTTTATTACAGTGTAAAATTCAATCTTTAAATTCCTTTTGGGATGATTGTCATATTACTGCATTGCTCATCTTTTCACTCTTCTACAGTTAATCCTGATGATGCAAATGAATTGGCATAGCATGTGTTTTTTATATGTCTTTACATTTATGTATCTCCTTGATAATTACTAAAGGATGTAGTTGGATTTCCTGTAGTAAAGTAATATCAGTAACAGCTAAAAGCCGCTCTAACGGCTAGTAGAGGAATGAGCAAGAGAACACTAGCTGTAGCCATCTGCAAATGTTGTCTTTTATGAAGCAGCACACAAGAGTGATCACAACGAAAATTTGCTTCTTTTCATAGATATTAACTTGTACACTGTGAAATGATAGGATACATTGATTGTTTTCTTTTTTCCTTGGTTGTGTGTAGAAACTTTCTCTAGTCAAACCACAGTGAGATTTTTGTATTGTAGGATAACCCAAATCTCATTTCACTGTTGTGCTGCTGTTAGCAAGCTTTTTAGTCTGTAGATAAAACATTTTTCCCAAGGTTCCAGCAATGCATAGAACTTTCCTAACACTGATGATTGCTGTTAAGCTGTTGTGCTTGAGGTTATTCTGTTAATCTGAGTTTTCCAGTTTGTTGTATTAGTTGAGCATTTTTTGGAAGTGTTTTGCGTAATATAGGGCTTGGAATGGTTTTGGTGCTATGTTTGTCCATGGTAAAACTTATCCATAAATGAGACAAAAATCGATTATCCGTGCCCAGTGGCTTGAGGAATGTGTTCCCGGGTCTCATTCCTCTCATCTCCACCCTGGTCCCAGGTGTGTACGAGCATATATGCGGTGTCGCACTAACGCAAATCAATTTTTACATTTTGTTTCTGAAACGTTAACTTTTCTCATCCAGAAGCCCATTGTCAGGTTGCTGCCAGCAAACTGGAGAACAGTCTCATAGCACTTGAAATACAAATTTAGTTTGTACATTGGCATATTGGCTTCCTGTTCTGCAGTATATGAACTGTACGTTGTAGAACAAATACTGCCTTTTAATAAAGAGCTACCCTGCAATACAAGATCCAGTAGGCAAGCACTTGTGCTAAACAGTTTTTTAATAATCTCTTTAATGTTGCTCATGCATAGCAGAGCTTACAACACATAGGTCAGCTATACAACTGTTCAGTAGCTTTTTTGTTTTTACTCCATTTATAGTGGAGAATAAATGGGAACATAGCTGTTGTGCTTTACTAGCTGGGTCTTTTGCTATATGTATTTTATGTTTCACGTACCAGAGTCCCTAGACACTAAGTTAATTTTATAGGAGTAACAGGGAAATAATTGCTTATTATAATTGTTTAGTTAGAAAAATCTGAAAAGTTTGACCTGTGCTATAAGTACAGGTACTGTAATGTCTCAGCAACTGGGGGCAATGAGCTGAGCATTAATCCATCCATTGGAAGATCCTTGAAGATGATGCTTTAATCCACAGTGTCCTCCTTGAGAAAAGAGGCAATGCACGAGTCTCTGCATTGTAACAGCCATGTACTGGCTTTTATGTTGGCTGTGCCTGGGAGCTGAAACAACCACACTGGTAAATGGTGCAATGAAAACGGTCGAGCGGTGGAATTACACCATGGCTAGGGAGCTGGAAGAACAGAAACTGCAGCTGTACAACGTAGAGTGTACATGGACTAGATACCTTACTGGGACTCCTGTTGTGCCTTACCAACACTAAGATTTGTTACATTACAAGAGCTTTGTTGTGGTCTCTTAGGCTGAGCGTTTCCTTTCAGGTATCTGATGTTCCTGTTAATCTAATTCTCATGTCAATTTTTAAATTATTTGATGGCCACTGTAATTCTTTTAGAATTTAAGTAGTATTGTACTGTATTGGGTTTGCGTGGCAAGGTTTTGGTAGTGGGGGGGCTACAGGGGTGGCTTCTGTGAGAAGCTGCCAGAAGCTTCCCCCATGTCCAGCAGAGCCAGTGCCAGACGGCTCGAAGACGGAGCCGGCGCTGGCCGAGGCTGAGCCCATCAGCAATGGTGGTAGCACCTCTGTGATAACATATTTAAGAAGGGAGAAAAAAACCCCAGACTTGTGGCGGAACAGCAGTGGAGAGAGGAGTGAGCATATATGAGAGGAATGACTCTGCAGACCCCAAGGTCAGTGCAGAAGGAGGGCAGGAGGTGCTGCAGGCACCGGAGCAGAGATTCCCCTGCACCCCTGGTGCAGCCCATGGCGAGGCAGCTGTGCCCCTGCACCCACGGAGGCCCACGGGGAGCAGAGATCCCCCTGCACCCGGGGAGGTTAACGGTGGAGCAGTCTGTTCCCCCGCCCCCGGCAGTGGGGACCCAGGCTGGAGCAGGCTGCTCCTGAGGGGCTGCACCCCGTGGGAGGGACCCACGCTGGAGCAGCTCGTGAAGAACTGCAGCCCGTGGGAAGGACCCACGTTGGAGAAGTTTGTGGAGAGGACTGTCTGCCGTGGGAGGGACCCCACACTGGAGCAGGGGAGGAGTGTGAGGAGTCCTCCTATGAGGAGGAAGGAGCAGCAGAGACAAGGTGTGATGAACTGACCGCAACCCCCATTCCCTGTCCCCCTGCGCCTCTTGGGGGGGAGGAGGTAGAGAAAATCGTGAGTGAAGTTGAGCCTGGGAAGAAGGGAGGGGTGGGGGTAAGATGTTTTAAGATTTGGTTTTTATTTCTCATTACCCTACTCTGATTTGATTGGAAGAAATTAATTTAATTTCCCCACGTCGAGTCTGTTTTGGCTATGACGGTAATTGCTGAGTGATCTCCCTGTGCTTATCTCGACCCACGAGGCTTTTGTTGTATTTTTCTCTCCCCTGTCCAGCTGAGGAGGGGAGTGATAGAGCGGCTTGGTGGGCACCTGGTGTCCAGCCAGGGTCAGCCCACCGCATGAACAAATATGGACTCTGATAAAAGTTGTGGAGAGATCAATATTCTTGTTGGTTTGGTTTTTATTTTCTATAAAACCGTGTTGTAAAGTTTTTAATGGTGTAGTACTTTAAAGTGCTACTGTAAGTTTGTTCATTTTATTACTAGGAATGGATTTGAGACAGCTGTTCTTAAAAAGGCAAAATTGGGAAAACTTCATCTGCATAAGCCATTCCGTACTTCAAAATTGCCTCTCGCATCGTGGTCCATCGTGTGTTCGTAGAGATTGACAATTAGGCAGTTTAGTGAAAGCAAGCAATTGTATCTAGCAGTGAGAAAATACCTTGAGACTGATACCATAGCAGAAATTTTCTGGAATGTTTTCCAAGACTATAAATAGTAAAGGCAGTGGGGAGAATTGAGAAGTGGAAAATCGGTGACTTCTCAAAATTAGTTTTCTTCTTCTGTACTTTTTACCATCTCTGTGTTTTAAATGCCTGCAGAACATCGTGGTGGGTACCCAGCCTATGAAAGCATGCAGGTGGTCAGCCTTAGTTTGTGGTTGGGGATGCCTGACTTAATTCATCTGTTAACTGCGAGCACCGAGTAGGAAGTCTCCAGAGAAAGTAGTGATCTTGGTGATCATGTTGTTAGGGTATGACAAACAATTCCCATTACATTGATTAATGTACATGAACTAGAAACAGTCTTTACAGTATATTTAAAACAAACCCAAAATATTACCTGCCTGGTTTTTTTGCTCTGTAAGAGAGGGCCTAGTAATAACTCACTTAACATTATAAAACAAACAAAAAACCCTCACAAAAACCCAAACCAACCAACCTCCCCAAAACCCCAACCTCCTGCGCAATTTTCACAGTGAAGGTTGTTGGACACCATCAAACTGCTGTGAAGTTAGGGGATGTAAATTTGCCACCCTGCTAATGCAGCATGACAAATGAGAGGGCAGGCTTTTCTGCCCCAGTCCCGTGATGGGAGAGGGGAAGTTGTGGTGTTGGCTGAAAAATTATGTTCTCACTTAGCACATTGGCGAACAGCAAGATGTTTGATCTTATTGCAATTTTGACGGTTTTTAGACTGCTGCACAGTTACTGTAGTTAAATAAATTGTGCGTAGGCCCACGCGATTGGACAGGGCGTGCTCAAAGCCTCCAGGCAAGGGTATTGCTAGTAATAGTTCAAATGAGTAAGAGATGGGAAAGGAGAGGGCCCTTAAAATACCAAACCAAGCCACACATGTATTATTACAAAGTAATGTGACTGAAATGCTGCCCGTGGGACAAGGGGAGGAAGGGGTCCTGCGAAGCCAAGGAGTGACCTGGGCGGTGGGGTGGAGATGGGGCAGGGTGAGGACTGGAATGTGCTGGCACGGCTCGGTGTGTGATGACTGAGGC